AATGTAACTTACATTAGAAAAATCAAGTGAAATCTCAAAAATATTTTAACGTAATTTTGTTTCATTGCCACCCTAAATAAATATATAGAATTATTCTGTCTTCCAATATTATTTTATGGAAAGTAATAGACAGCTTTTGGGTAACCAGGAGAATATGTTCTCCTTAACTTCTTTTAAGCATGTATAACCATAGAAAATAAAACATGTAAGTTTTACATTAAAAAGCACTAAGCTGTGAATCAAAAACTGTGCTTAATATGTACTATATACATATATCCAAAGCAAACTGGGTTTACAAATGAAAATTTTACCTGAAAGATGTCTGTTTTATAATTGTTTTTATCTAGACATAAAATATTTAGAAAATATTTTACCTAATTATGTCTCTATTGCCACTGGTGTAATTTTAAAATTATATGCAAATATTAAGTAGTCCATTATACCCAAGATAGTTATATAATTCATAGAAACATTAACGTAATTATATGCACTAGATGGAGAAGCTCTATAGTTTTATGAAGTTTTATGACTCTGTTATCTATATTTAAATCTGACAATATTGCCAAAATAAAATTTTAAACCACTGTGTTTTAAAGGCATGTTTCCTTCTTAGTAGAACCAAGATTATAAACAACCGTGTTATGGAAACTCTTATTAAAGATACATTTATTGCAATTGACTTGTCTGAGGTTTTGGAAACACCAATTCTACTACCCTAAATTTTGGAGTGCAATCAGTGTGGTCTGAATAGACATTGAAGCCTCAAAAAGGCACTTTGGGAACAACTTGGGAAACTCAAGTGCAGTAAATCATTGCAGCCCAGATGGTATTCATCTCAGAGTTCTGAGGGGAAACAAGTTGTGAAAGAACAAAGCAAGCAAACAGGGATACGTAAAAATTGCAGTGTTGGTTCACACAGGGTACATGCCAACCTGGCACTGCCTTTAAAGCAGTGGTGCCATCGTTTGACCATTAGTCACTCAGATTTGATTGTTGCATTTGTTGAGCTCACAACCTGAAAAATTTAGAACATTTTTATTCTAAAAAATAAAAAAGAAATATTCTATTCACTCAAGTCATTTGTATTCATTTCACTGTACACGGCAATGAAAAGGGATGCATGTTTTGATAACCTCAAGATCTGTTTCTCAGGACTCTCACAGGGAATTCAAAAGTAGGAACAGACGCAAGCCTCAGCTTTGGAGTAATCACAAAGTCCCTGTTTTCCTACTGCCCTAAAGCTCTTTCCAGACAGACCTTTCTGACTCACCTTGCGGAATTTCAGCTGGTACTGATCTGCTGACTCTCGGGTCCCAGGAACACCTGTGGGTTTTATGGAAAGGATTCTGTGAAGGGAAAGAGGCTGTGGGTAAATATGCAGAAGCAGCTAGGGGTACAAAAGCTTATTAGGAAAGAGACTACTCTGGAAGGAATTTCATCAGTGGTCAAATTATTCTGCAGGGAGGTCTGTGATCTGTGCCACCTGGTGATCTGGCTGTCCTTTCCTACATCACTTCCCCCCCGCAGAAATCACGAGGGTAAAGTTGCTTTCTCATCTGGGATGAGAGAGATGTAAGGAAGATATTGGACACCTTGAAATTTAATGGTTCCAGCTTGATCCCACTTACCAGTGCCAGAATCATATTTTCCAGTTGACTATTAGGTGATTTCACATGGATATGTCACTGTTAGGAAGTCAATTGATCTAAACTTGAAATATTTACCAGTGTCAGTCAGGGAACCAACAGGAAGCGGATGGCATACTCCAATTAGAACAAACTGCAAGTTATCTGAAATTGGTTGGCTCTTAAGAATGCTTGATTTAGATATTCTTTATACAGGTGTAGGTAGTTGAAAAACCTCAAGGCATAGTCCAGTAACTCAGGTATGGCAATAACTGAGCTGTCAACACCACTAAGCCTGCAGGGAGAAGGCCTGGAAAGGTTTATTGCCATCCGGGAGAGATGTGTGTAGAAACGGCCACACTGATAAAAACACTTGAAGGAAACAGCCAGCCTGTGGGGACATCTCGGCGAGGAGTCCAGGAGAATTTCTCCCCCATTTTCTACCATATCTCACTATTGACTGAACCAAATGGAAGCCAGAGGACAAAGGGGCCTATGTTGCATAAATGTCAGCCTCCTAGGGGTGTATGACAGGTGGAGGAAGATTGGAACAGACCCTAAAATAACTAGCATATTCCCCTTTCCCATTCCAAGTTCCAATTGTATGGGCAACAGGGTTTACCTAATGGCACAAATCAGAATATACTCAACACTCGTTCCTACCATGATCCTTACAATCTCAACTCATACAAATATCTGACTCCAAGTTTCCATTGATTCTGAATTGTGAGATTTATGAAGTGCCTTCCATTCTCTCACATCATTGCTAACTTTTCTCTTCACATCACTCTACCATCACTCCAGCCTGTTCACTTCTTTATGGCATCTATCACTTTCAAAAATTACCTTGTTTACTTTGTTTTTCAAATTTACTGGAACACTGTCCTCAGGATTGTATCTCCAGTTCCTAGTACAGTGGCTGATACATAATATATGCTTGATAAGCAAGTATTGAATGAATAAATTAGTGCAGGCTTCCAATATTTATCAGCTATTTTAGTACACTTTAAAGCGCCTCTTCAGCATCCGTTTTAGTCCTTTATAGTTCACCATTTCTATGTCTGCTAGCATAACTTTTTTTATTCAAAAATCTCCTTAAAATTATTTTGCAGCACTTTGCAGGATTCCAAATGAAGCAATTCTGTCACTAAACACTTATTTATTGAGCATACACTATGTGCTAAGGAATAGAAAACAAAGATGAGCCAACAGACTCAATCAGGGTGCTTACAACTTGCAAGCAAAAATAATAAATGAAGCTGCGTCAGTGAAGTGTAGTAGTCTAAGATGGGGGAGGACCAGGTGCTGGGAAGCACTGAACAAGAATCCTTGACCTACAGGAAAGGAAATGTTAGGAAAGGCTTCCCAGAGGACTGAAGAATAAAAGAAGACAATGAAGATGGGGACCACATCCTAAGAGGCCCACACTCCACGTTTATAGTGTCTCCTTAGCCTAGTATCTCAGTGTCTTAGTCCTGATGTTTACTAGCTGTATGTCCTACACTTTCTCAATTTGGACTCTCTGCTCCAGAGACAGGTGACTATTTAGTGTTCCCTAAATGCTTCATGCTGATTCCCCCTTCTGTGGTTTTGCCTACTTATTCCTGCTGTCCTAAGAGACAAAATTCTGTTTCTTAGGGAAGCCATCCATTTTACACTCTGTTCTCCCCTTCTCTGCTCAACACAAGCATGTTTCTAGAAGCAACTTGACTTCTTTTCTCAGTTTTCCAGAGAACAGTTTGCATTTTCCCAGACATTACCAAGCCTAAATTAAATGTCAGTGGTTTGGAGAAGGAAATCCCTGCATTCTCTTCACGTTAATACTCTGCATTAGCCACTGGAATATATAGAACTCCTTGAGAAAAATCTGTAACTTATCGATTTATTCTTCTCTGTTCTAAAAGATAAACGATGGCTTCTCAATTATTTTGAGTAAACATAGCCAAATGTTAACTTCAAATTTAATTTAATGTAGACAGTTTAATCTGAAGTGTAGTGAATAGCAATAGAAATGAGACCAAATGAGCAGAAAATATTTGAATTTTAATTGTAAATATGCCATGGTTAGTATGATATCCTCAGGTTATTGAATATTTGTGCTTCTGTTCCACTAAAGATAATACAACCTCATGGTTATTCTGAGTAATAAGTGCTAGTATAATTGCAGGCAGTTGAAAAGCAAATATGTATTAAAATTCTAACTAATAAACGTATTTTCTACAATTTTCTAATCACAATTATACTCTGATGTCAAACCAGGCCAAAAGTCACAGTATAGGAACATTATAAAAAGTAACAATTATGATGTTACTTTATTATTGCAGAAGTTCCTCCTAATTAGCCTAGAAAGATTTAATTCACAAGAATCTATCATTATTGAAGCGCATATTGACTTTTTAAGCCAGTGTAGTTGTTTTACATTTTATGGGAGTAAAATGAAGATATCAAGGTGAAAAAGTAAAATTCAGTGGTATTCAAATTACAAAATTCAAACTGACAATGTCACTTCCAACTTTTTTAAGGATTTCATTTAATCAAATATATATAGGAACTTAAAGTCAATGCTAATACGTTAGTGACTGATTTCAAAATGGTTGAAAATATACAAATAACACAGACACTGGATATATGTATTAACTTTTTTCTCGGAAAGTTAATGAGAACTTAAGTAATTGATCAGAAAACCTGCTATGTCATATTATGATGCAAATAATTAATATTATATGGGTTTATATTCATCATAAAGCAAATTCTGCAAAATGTGACTTGGGATAACATTTTTTGCCTTAAAGGGAAACTTTATTTCTATTCCAGTGTTGTAAAATATACCACTGTATATTTTTTCTTGAGTATTAAGAAAAAAATAACATCATCATGCCATATTATTATACTTAAAGCAATATTTTTCAGTCTATTTTAACATTTTCTTTCTCGATGACAGATGGAATAGTGTGTTGACCAGCTGTAGGATTTGCTTTAAAGAAAGTGATTGTTGGCTCGACGTGGTTGCTCACGCCTGTAATCTCAGCACTTTGGGAGGCTGAGGCAGGTGGATCACCTGAGGTCAGAAGTTTGAGACCATCCTGGCCAATTTGGCGAAACCCCATCTCTACTAAAAATACAAAAAATTAGCTGGGCATGGTGGTGGGTGCCTATAATCCCAGCTACTCAGAAGGATGAGGCAGGAAAATCGCTTGAATCTGGGAGGCGGAGGTTGCAGTGAGCAAAGATTGAGCCATTGCTCTCCAGCCTGGGCAACAAGAGCAAAACTTCACCTCGAAAAAGAAAAAAAAAAAAGAAAAAGAAAAAGATGAAAAAGAAAAAGGGAGGGGAGGAGAGGGGAGGGGAAGGCAGGGGAGGGGAAGGGAAGGGAAGGGAAGGGAAGGGAAGGGAAGGGAAGGGAAGGGAAGGGAAGGGAAGGGAAGAGAAGGGAAGGGAAGGGAAGGGGAGTGATTGTTATGGGTCCATGACTCCTAATGAATCAGAGTTCTCCAGGTACTTGGCTCAGTGAAGGATCTCTTGCTTTACTTGATATTCTGGAAGTTCTGTATAAAAGTAAAAGTAAAAGTTAACAACATGCCATTTTAAGGATTTCACAAATGTGCTGTGTGTTTGCATTTTTGCTGGAGTCTGCACCCTGGAGGAAAAAATTAATCAAGTTCCAGAATGTAAAGTCCCAACAGTAAAATATCGTATTGTCTTTCTAGGGAGCATCACACCTTTAACTATGATGTCCAAGTAATCATTTTTTAAAAAGTCCTTTCTTTTCACAAATATTTAAATTTTTAGTTGTTTCTCTGCAAACTTCTTTGAAGGTTCAGGGCTGTTTGAATATAGCATAACATGAAACAAATGCAACTACCTTATTCTTTACAGAAGACAGGTATTCACGTGGGTTAGGCCTGACCATCAGGTGAGTGAACAATGTCTGAAACAGCAACCATTCTTTCTTTAGGGAGCATTATTTATCTCCAGGTGTGGGGCAACACAGGTTTTGTTGCCAATGATGCTTTTGTTTCAGTTTGTTCTTTTTTATAATTGCTTCTAATTTTGTCTCTTTTATCCTGGGCTTGGGGTTTTCAGATTATACATTATGATAAATTTTAAATTATATGAAAATAATGTGTAACTAAATACAAATATATTTAATAGTATGAATAACTTGCTTTAAAATACACATTAGAATAAATTCAAAATATTTGTCCATAATAATAACACCCCCACTGCCATCCAAAAAAGCGATATGCCTTCTGTGCAGGTGAGAAAAAATATGCAGTTACAGCGAATACATAGGGAATTACGAGTAGTCTATACCTTATACCTGTAGCACAACAGTAATATCTAAAAACCAATGAGATCATGGAACAGGTGTAAATCTTATACATTCTGTGTGTAGTTAAGAAGTGAAGATTGAGAACCATTAAAGATGTTTTTGCTGGGCCAGAAAACTGTCCATATTTTTTGGTAACAATGTTTGTCATGGAATATCTAGGCAAGAACAGTAACTAAACAGTGTTCTCAAGTACTTAAAACCAAATCAAGTAAACCTTAATAAATTCCAAATGCTATTTATCCCTCTTAGCAATGGACTCTAATTATTTGTCCTTCAAATCAAATGTTAGAGCCCATGGAATATCTTCTCATACAAATATAACTTTTATGGCCTTGGAGAAAAGTAGTGTGTTTGGTACTGGTTTTAGTTAACATCAAATTAAATGCTTAGAGGGGTTGGGTCCAAACAGTGGATACATTTTGTTTACCTGCCATTGCGTTTAAAAATCAATAAATTAGAATGTCCATATGTACCTGACCTCTTGGTATCACCAAACACCTTCTCATGCCAGTCTTTTATTTGCCTAATTGTCAAGGCCTTTTGAAGTCTGAGATCTCTGGAGGAGCAAGATATGTTTACATGCATTGTATGGTTGACTGAATTAATCTTTCTAGGTGTCAAATGTTATGAGGTAAATCTCCAGTGAATACTTCTGTTCCTCTAAAGGCCCAATCTTACTGATAAACATAGTTTGTGTATGTACTTACATGTATATATGGCTGTATACACACTTATGTATATTTCTTCATTAATATTTATGCTACTCAAATTTCACAGACATGTACCCATATGTATAAGAAATAAGCAAATGAACATGATTGATGTTTAAATATGAACTTTTTTTAAAATTAAAGGTAAGTCTACACTATTTTATGTATAGTTGTAGATGCTAAATAAGTGGAAAAATTTTAAACACTAGACATTTAGAAATCTAGAGGTTGATGTATATCTCATCTCAATGTCTCACATGCCTGCTGGAGCATTACTACATTCCAGCAATAAAAGCAGCCAAGATTTGGAGAATAAATTAATGTCAGGCAATGGTAATGTCTTTCTAGGGGCACTCTGAGGCTTTATTAAATGTCTTTTTCAATAATTGCCTATTAAAAATGAGTAAAATGTATTAGCATATAAAAATCAGAGTGAATAATACATCTTTAGGTAAACATAAACTGCATGCAGTAAATAATAGGTCAGTTATGTGAGCCTATCAATCATGAAAATGATTTGAATAATGAATGCAGCAAAGTTCAATTTGGATTTGGTAGGGGAAGCCAAGGGGAGAGATTGATAAGAGTTTAATTGGAAGGAACATACAATGCACATGTGCTTATAAAATGCAACATAAAAAATCTCCTATGATCACATTTCCCTTACGTAGGAAGACTGAAAGTAACGTTTCCATGGACCTATGCCACATAAAACTTGATTTAGTATGTCTTAACAGAGAAGCTTTCATTCTCAGGCTCTTTGTAAGCTCAGCCATTGTGCAACATACTTTAACACAGCTAAGTGACTCCCTTTCAGACCTTTCCTTCTGACTTATATTCAGTTACCTAAGCTTGACCATAACCAAGAGAAGGATTCCACAGGTGACTGTCATGCACATGGCAGCATAGATTACTTCTCCTAGGAAGAAAAAAAAAAAAAGGTTAAGAAAAGATAGCCACTGGATTTTTAGAGGAAATAAATAATATAAATATTATAGAGGATTGATTTTTAACTGACCATTGAAGGGGGACTGAAATCCAGTTAAAGTGATTTTATTTGTATGTTTTCTTGTATACAATGCCATGCTTTTGACATTAGACAGGGTTGGATAATCTGAAAGAAAATCACAAAAATGAGATTAAAGTAGTTACATATCATACTTTATTTTAATTTTATGGATTACAATTTGCTTTATCTTATAAGGCAGCAATTTATTTCTATTACATTATTTTAATCTGATAGATTTGAATAAAACAATTTTCTTAAATTTTAACATCCTGTTTTTCCCCTTTTAATCAGATAATTTCCCTATATAAGCTTTTATTTTTTTCAAACCAAGATTAGTACAATGATTACATTTTATAACATAAATCTTATATACAGACAAGAAAAATAAAAGATAGCAACTTTAGGCCATCCTTTGGGATATTGAAAAAGATCCTTTCTTTACAAAAGTGATTGTTTTAATGTACCCCTGCACTCAGATACTGGAATACCTAGTTTTGCTTAATTCCCTTGTTCTGACTCTTTTTCTCTCCGTTAGCTAAACCTTCAGTTTCTCCTGTTAGCTATATTTGCCTCCCTTCAGAGCTATTCCTGGCCATTCTGAGGCGCTAGTCTTCTTGGTCATGTTTCTGAGAAATACATTCCCATCAGTTTCCAATAGCCTCACAACTCTAGAAATCATGCTTTAGAGTGGCCAGGTCATAAAAACAAATCTGTTCCTGTGAGAACGGTCTTTTCTCTGGCTATTCTACTTTAACGACAGAAAGATACAATTGTTAAAATTAACTGATAGATCTCTTTTAGGTGATTTTTATCAATAACTTTAAAGTGCAATCACTCCTAGTTTTCCTTAATTAGAGACAAATATGGATGTCAAACATACCAATAGTTTAGTAACCAATTTATGTAATGAAGGTAAAAGTTGGTTTTGAGGCAGTAAGAAAAATGAGATAAAGCTTTCACTTTAGAGAGGTTTTGCTGTCTTCTGTCATAGATGTTTCATTGCATTTTTGAGACCTGACACTATGAGTAGACAGTTGTTTACAAAAATGGAAGTATCAAACAGTGGGATATTACATCTGATGAAAACTAGTGACAACAAGCTCTGAGCAGGAAGGGAGATAAGAAAATCTACAGTCAAGCATTGCTTAATGATGGGGATATATGCTGAAAAATGCAGGCTTAGTCGATTTCGTGCTTGTGTGAACATCATAGAGTGTACTTACACCAAGGTATAGCCTACCACATGCCTAGGTTATATAACATAGCCTTTGCTTTTAGGCTACAACCACGCACAGTGTATGCTATTGTACTAAATACTTTAGGCAAGTTTAACACAGTGGTAAATATTTGTGCATTTAAACATCTAAACATAGAAACGATACTATAAAAAATACAGCATTATAATTTTATGGGACCACTGATGTATAGTCTGTCTGTCGTTGACCAGAATGTCCTCATGAGGTACATGATTTTATGACCAAATGTTCCACTCAGTTCTCTCTCCACCCAGGGCTGCTGCTGTTCAGAAGACAGCTTATTGGGAGCCAAGATTTGAGCACTGTGTTAACAATAATCAATAGACTGATACATTGGAGTTTCAGACCAGTAATAAACCTCCCACAGTGGGTCACAAAGAAGCAGCCCAATACAGGACTAGAAAAGTAACTGAGAATTTTGTCATTAGAAAACTCATTCTCAGGGGGTCTGAACTCAAACACAGTTAAGGCATTTTTAAAAACAGTTTAAGCCTCCAACTTGCATATTGGATTATCATCTATTTAAGAAGCCTCCAGTGTGGCTGATGACTGTAAAACCAGCACTTTGGAAGGCTAAGGTGGGAAGATCACTTGAGCCCAGGAGTTTGAAACCAGCCTGGCCACCATAGCAAGACCCCATCTCTAAAAACTTTAAAGATTAGCTGGGCATGGTGGTGCACACCTGTAGTCTAAATTCTCTGGAGGCTGAGGTGTGAGGATCACTGGAGTCCGGGAGTTCCAGATTGCAGTAGTTGTGATCAAGCCACTACACTCCAGCCTGGGTGAAAAAGCAAGACTCTGACTCTAGAAAAAGAAAAAAAGCCTCCCCCTTGTTAGAATGAAAAATAAACCACTTAAAAATGTAAAAGTAATAGAGGTAGAAATCGTGAATTATTTTTTACTTTGTGATTGTAAAATAACTTTTTTATTCACTATAAAGTTGAAAGGGGAAAATTGAGAAATTTTAATTTAATTTTAATTTTTTAATAAGGGGTCCTTGAAAAAAATTAATTGTAATCACATTGATCATATAGACTTTTAGTAAAATAAATGATCACAATAAAATTGTGTATTTAAATCAATTCAGAATATGAAGAATCAAGAGTTTTACTTCTTTTTAAGTTATATGGCCTTTTAAATAAAAGTTGTAGCTATATTCATGGTCTAAATATATACAATATACCTTAGATGATTAATTATCTAAATGATGCTATGGTTTTTCCTTATGAAATTCTATCCCTAAGTACACTTAGTCTAGTTGGGTGTTACAGTTCACCTTTGCAAAAGAAAAAAGGTATTATTTTGAAACAAAAAAGGCTTTTTTTAGATATGTAACTGCCTTAAGTAATTGTTAAACACTCACCTAGCAGAGTTTAGAATCATCTCATTTACTAAACTCCTCTCACATGGAACTCATTAACAACGTTATAATAGATCAATGACAGAAATGATAGCTAATTATCCCAGTGAAAATTTAAATGCGACTAGCAATCACTCCACAATCTTAAATATTGCACCCTAGGAGGATACCGAATATCAGTTAGAGAGATTAATGTTACTGAGGGTTTCTTGGCTACTGAAGCCCACTGGAGTTCCTTCCCTGCCTTTTATAAACAGTGAGGTTTATAGCGTTTTATAACCATGAAATTAAAGTCAGCAAAGTTGATAACTAACCTCAGTCCCACACCATCTGCTCTATTTATAGATAAACACGGTCAGTGACTTGTTTATCTTAATTTGTACCCTGGAGAAATTAAACACGATTATGAACTATATTGTAAAATCCCTGTGCATTTGATGGGAAATCAAGATTAATTTCAATCTTGCATTAGGAACAAATTTAGAAAGTATTCTCCCCAAATGAGCTATGGAGAGGTGAGCATCATTATTTCTTTTTTTCCCCCAAAATCCTTGTGCAACAGTAGTTGAGAATTCATGGGGACTGAAACTCTGCTTGTATAATTCATATGAAACAGTAAATGCATGGTAAAAGTTATGGTTGATCAGAGACGAAGCAATGACTTAGAAATAAATGTCAGAATACTTAAGATATAATTTGAAATAGAGATTAAACATATCACAAACTGCAAACTTATAAACCTTCATTTCATTTTAATTAAAATATAATTTAGAAGAGTCAGCTTTGGGGAAAAAAATGCCTGTATCCAGAATGAGTTTCATGGGAAAAAAATAAGTTCACAAAATTGAACAGTAATTTTTACCTTGAATTATATTACACAAGCACTAGGTGAATTTGTAATAAATACGACAAATGAAAGAATAAAAATAGTTTGTACTATAATTTATAAATTTCAAAACTTTATATTTCATATTTGGAGGTTTTCAATTTATGGAATGTTTTCAATGAAAAAATACATAAGTGACAGCACCATTGATTGTCCAGAAAAGTTTTGATGTCTTCATTTGACATTGAATAATTCACTAATGGCTACCCTTTGGAAAATGTGTAAAATTTTACCTAGCTGGCTTTTATATATATATATATTTTTTTTCTCCATAGGCTGATTGAAAACAACAGGGGAGAGTTAGGAAAAAATAAAAGAAAGACGTATCTTTTGGAGAGTGTTCATAGTCATTTGGAATGATGAGATAATACAGAAAGTTTTATAAATTACTGAGTTTTGAAATGGGGAACCTCCATCAGAAAGAATGCACAATTGTAATGAGAATAGAAGGGAAAGAAAGGATAAAATATGGGATTTCTTTTTGGTTCTTTTTCTCATTTTTCTTCCTTTCCTCCTTCCCCTCCTTCTCTCATTCCTGTCTTTCTTCAAAAGTATTTAGTGAGCATTTACTATTAACACACAGTGGAGATTTTTAAAAAAGTGATCCACGTGTACTTTTTCAGTATTGTTGAGTGTGGTGTGAAAATACACCAGATTTGATGTCTTTGCTGTCAGTCCCCAAAGACCACTTAAAAGCTTACGGTTCAGGAACCATTTTGTTACCTCTAATTTTCCTTCCTTTCTCATTAGTACATCTTCAAGTCATCTTGAAAAGACCCCACACTACTGCATTAAACTGTCAATATGACATCTACCTTCCACTTTTTGTGACTATCCTTCAGTAGCCTAATGTCTTGAAATCGTTGTCTTGATAATTGTCTCTGTTCCTCAACCCATTTCACTTTACAACCTTTCCAAACAGGTTTTTGCTTCACTATTCCACTGAAATTATTTCAAGATCAGCTAAGGCCTACTTGGTCATTTCAAATATTCTTCTTCATTGGCTTCTTCTGCTGTCTTCAACTTCTAAAGGCTGGAGTTCAGTCCCGGCCCTTCCCTTTAATATGATTCAGTCCTGCCCCTCCCCTTTAGTAAGAAGAAACCTAATAATCTCACTGAGTGGTCTCAATTTTCCAATGATTTTAAGTAAACTACAGATTTATATTGAGCTACCTTCTTGATATTTTTGCTTGCATATCTGATAACCATCTCAAATTTAACAAGTTCTAAATTAAATTTAGGTTTCCTCTTACTATACTAACTTCTCTCACAGTGTTTCTCATCTCAGTACATGGTATAGCCCATCCACATCATTCAGGTAATCTGACAATTATCCTAGATTTTTTTCCCTTCTTTCAATTGTGTATCCCATTAGCCAGTTTGTCTTCTTGATTTTACATAAATGGGTATCTTTATTCTTCCTCACTGCAAACTCCACTGAACTAGCTAAAGTGATCATGATATCCCAGCATAGGTGCTTCAATAAATACCCCCAATAATCTCAACTTTTTTCCTGTTTTCACTTCTGCCTGACTCCAGTGAAAGCAATCAAGGTTATCTATTAAACATCCAAATGAAATCATTTATTTCCCCTACTTCAAAT